AAGATGCATTTCACCCCAGTATGAGAATTCACTTCGTTCATTCAATTATGTTTAAGTATAATATTTGTTTCGGTGAAAAATTCTGAAAACCTTAAATATTCAACATTTATTTTGTTTACATTTGTGCAGATTGTTTATATTTGTGCAGAGAAGGCAATAAATAATAATAACATTCCTACAGCTGTTAGTTGAAACCATTTAAATGAAGCTACATACAATTCTTCATGAAACAGTTGTTTCATATTGATCAATAAACTATTTCTTGCCATGGAGCCTAAATGAATTACATTGAGAAAAATGAATTTTGTTTTGGTTACTATAAAAAATGTATTTTAACGTTTGACCTGATTTGTGTATACAGTAATTCTGCTTTTATTAGTATTGAATATTCTGACTTACAAAAACATATATGTTTTAGTGAATAGCTGTATGATATTGACAAATAAAGATGTATTGTGAAAACCAAAGCATTCGTAAAACAGGTCTAAATATAAATTAAATGAAATTATTCCTTACACGACCTAAGAAGTGTGACAGTGCATAATCGTCAATTGTCTTAAAAGTGTTAAATATTTTAATTACTAAACAAGCATTTGCAGATATGGAATGTTTATTGATATTATCTACCCAGTTACTATATCATATCAATGCTTGCTTCGGAAAGTCCTAGAGGAAGATGATTTGCAATTTCAACTAGGCTATATCTTGATCAAACAAAACTACATGGCTTGCACCACTTTTAGCTGAACCAATCTTTCATATACATATTTCATTTGCAGATGTGGAATGTTTATTAATATTCTCTACCCAGTTACTATAACATATCAATACTATTATGCCTGCTTCGGAAAGTCCTAGAGGAAGATGATTTGCAATTTCGACTAGGCTATATCTTAAGCAAACAAAACCCCCTACATGACTTACACCACTTTTAGCTGAACCAATCTTTCATATAATATTTTTCAAAGGTACTATACGTGTTAACGACCAATTTTCCACTTTTGAGAGATTGTTTAGTGCTGGTGGTTGAGGAATAACTTTCATATTGTTCCAAAAGGCTTGAGACGTTACTGTATTTCTTTTTATAATGTAGAAGTACACCGATTGCAGGAAACGATGATGTCTGACATTTCAATGTATCTAGAAAAGACAATTAGTTTTTCATTAGGCCTAATGTAATGGACAACTCCTTCTTTCTTAAGGAATATCTAAAAATGTTTATTTTCATACCCATTGATTATGTAACCTGAACAGGTGACTCAAGCAGTTTTAAAATAATGATTGTTCTGTGGAACTTTTGATTGTTTCAAACAGTTTTGCTTATCAAAAAACCTCAAGTAATTAATACATAAAAAATTATACAGTCACTAAAAATCATGAAATAATTTATTTTTGTAAAAAAATACAACCGACTCCAAACGCTCTAAAAAGAATGAAATAATTTCAATAAAGTAAACTTTTGTATTAGGCAAGCTCACGTATTTCAAGTTGGCGCGGCTCAAACTGCAAATATGATTGAAATTAAATATTGTGTGTGTATTTTGAAAATCAATAAATTGTAGCTGGATAACATAAATATATAAAAAAACATACTGAACTGTTTTGTTTATATATTAAAAGAAATATTTTCTTGTATTTTATGTTTACTTCAGAATAAATGCATTATGAAAATAACACACACAAATGTTCTATATGAATAGGAAAATAATTTAGTTTGATATTATGACAGGGAAAAGAAGCTAGTTTAGTATTAAAACATTACTTTTCCAAGTTAGAAACATTTAAATGCGTTATAATCTTTTTAAAGATACTCGTTAATACCACTATAATGCCGATCTCTGATTACGGTAATAAAATAACACTTAACGCATAACTATGAAAAAGACATACAGATTAACACCTTTAGTTATAGATAGTCACCTGCAATATGGACACCCTCTTTCAATTTTGTATCAAAAATCATCATAGAGCCGCGCCGACTTAAAATACGTGAGCTTGCCTAATACAAAAGTTTACTTTATTGAAATTATTTCATTCTTTTTAGAGCGTTTGGAGTCGGTTGTATTTTTTTACAAAAATAAATTATTTAGGACTTCCGCTCCCACGCTAGTTGGCAACATCAACTGTGCTATATGAAAACAATAAATCTTGAGTAAATATACTGTAATGTTGAATTTTGAGGTTGTGGTGTTCCTTTGTAAACACATTCAATTATAATCTAGGGATATGTAATATGTAAATTTATTGTTATACGTTAACTTTATTGATATTCGATTCGCTACAGTAGGCCTACTATTAAACCTATAACATTTTCAATTCATGTGCGTTGTATTTTAGAGTTGGGGAAACAAAAGAACCCTGTGTACAACTTATTTATATGATATTCTCATTGGTTGCAATTTAATAAGTGGTGTAACAAAACACAAACACAAAATTTAATGAAATAAAACTAAGCCAATGTTAAGTAAATACTATTAATAAACATATTTGCGACATAAGAACATTTAATTGAAGCCTAAAAAACAGTTCGAAAAAGGTATTCTATTCTTTATACTAGTAAAAATTAAAATGAGGGTATAAAAAATAGTTTTCAAAGATCATCTTGATCAATGTACATTCATCTAGTCTTGAAAAAATAAGTATTTAAAAGCTTACTCCAAACATAATGAAGTTTATAGGTTGTTAACAAAATGTCATCATTTTTCAAACCATGTAAACCTTATAGTTTTCCAGCTGTTGCCTTGTTTATTTTTTCTTTTTATGTTTTTTTTTTTTACTTTATGATGTTTTAATTAATGGTTCAAATATGCATAGTTATTTAAATTTCTGAACAAGAACATATACCCATACCCATGTATATATAACTAATAAACGTTCCATAAGCATTTCACACGAGAGAACACTGTTCGGCAAGTAGCCGGTCATCGTAACCGGTCATCATGAAGGAGCTTGGACGTCGTGCAACAGCGCTGAGCTATATGGGACGTCGTGCAACAGTCAAATATTTATTGGACGTCGTGGCACTTGGACGTCGTGCAACTGGCAGCGACTTTGGATATCGTGCAAATGTTACTTTTTTACAATTCTATAGTGCGCTGTTTCACGACGTCCAAGTGCCACGACGTCCAAAGCTTGCAGAAAGACTATATTTTTGGCAGTTACTGTACCTTTGGACGTCGTGGCACTTGGACGTCGTGCAACAACTCAAAAACTATGTTTTGGACGTTGTGGCACTGGAAAAATATTATTGGACGTCGTGGCACTTGGACGTCGTGCAATGCATCCTTCTAGGAGATGAGGGCTTAAATACTTTAAAAGTGGGTGCGAGCCCCACTGTACGCCCCTTTTCATAAAAAAAATAAAAAATTTATACCTAAAAAACTAACCTTACAGTAGATATCGTCCATATAGCTTAAAAGTCTCCTGAGTCAGTGCACCCTAAAAAATGGACACTATTGCCCATGGTTTTTAAAACTAAGCATAATTCAATTTCACATGCGGTTCTTTATTTTGTATTAAGGAAAAAGATTTGTATTTGTACAAATTTTGTTGATTTAGGTACTCAAATAACCATGTTTCTCTGCCCCATCATGTATTACACAATACTATTCCCTTAGCTTACCGTATGCACATTGCCCTATAAAGGCACAGATAGTTTGTTAGGTCGTCGCAGGTGCGAGCCATTCCAACCTGCAATATTACGTTAGAGCGGTTCATTTGCATTGTTACTCGATTTTACAACCAATAAAATCTACGTTTGTGCTTTGAATGGGATAAACTAAATCTTACAATGTCGAGCTTAACTCTTCCATTCGGCACTTACTTTTATAGGACACTTATAGAGCTTATTTAATTCGTAAAAGAAATGTAATTTAGCTTTAGAAAATTTATAAAATGTATGGATTTTCTCACTATCTAGCTTACTAGTCGTAGTAACATTTTCTCAACTATCTAATCTAAAAAAAAAATCACTTATTTAAAATTTAATTTCACATATTCTTTGAACATTATATACGTAATTAATAAAAAATAAAAGAGTGTTAGTTTATAAAAAATATACGTGGCATTTCAGATTAAATACTTTATAATATGATTACAAACAGGAAACGTTTAATCAACAAATAGTGGTGAAATAAAAACAATATTTTAGTTTTACGAGTGCATAAAATATGAGGATCTAATTTGTTATGTACCCTGTCATGAAAGTAATTCATCTTTTTTATTTAGACAAAATAAAGCCGAGGTCGAATTTCTTGTATATGTACCTGACGCTTTATTTAGAAATCTTGTACTCAGAGGGATGTCTAAAGACTATTGAAGAAATGACTGAATAAAAGGAAAGTTTAATAGTTGTTTTAATCCGTTGCCATATTGATAAAACGACAAAGGTTTTCTTAAATGTTGCATAAAAAGATAACTGAACGTATTAAACTTGCATTTCACTGTTTCTGCGTGTAACAACCTAAATAATAAGGACTCAAAGGTTTTAACAAATTAATGTTTTGAGAGAGGTGCCATTTAGCAGCCCAAGCAGGTGTGACAGTTCTTGTCCGTGATATTACACTAAATGAGTTCATTTGTATTGCAACTGTGTTTCCTTTTGAACAAGGTTGGTACTTGAATATCAAGTGGTGGTACTCAGCAAAACAACATAAAACGCTTTAACCTGTCCTGTTGACATTTTAATCCATTAAAACATAAATAGTCTACAAACCTATTTACATATCTTACTTTAAAACATACCTTAAAAGTTTATTTTAATTTTTTCTAGGATATTGGAAAAAGGAGTTTTAAGCACAGTAATTTAGCTTCATCGCAAGATAATTACTTACAAACGATAGTAAGGTACAATGTCTTGGAGCTATTTCTTAAACAGCAAAAACTGGTTGTTACTTTCATAAAAACAATTTTTTCGTGTTCAATAAGAGATCACTTAATATGTTGAATATTGTAATTTTTTTCAAAATTGTTGGACAATGAGTTTGAATGTAAAAGTTCAATAGCCAATATATCGATTTATTTATTTAGTAAAATCTGATTTATTCAGGAAACACAACATTGTTTTTGACATTCAACAGTTCCATCCCTTTTCGTTCATAAGTAAAATCCTGAGAATGACCCATCCTTGTCAGAAGTACACGGAAAGTTGACATCTTGACCGTAGTTGAGGATCCATTTATTTAGTACTGAAATTATACATCTTTTATAATAATATAATATACTGTAATATAATAATTCAATAATTAGTACAATAATTACTCAATTTTACCAACTTTACTACCCAATACTAGGCCTATAAAGGCAATCTTAAAAACCTTTAATAATAAAACTATTACAACAAAAACATGATTTTTCGTTGTGCTTTGGAAATAGTGCCATCATATTTTAGATTTTTTATTCCTGCTGTTATAAATTGGGGTGCATCTTTCTAGGTGTGAGGTTGGTCGATTATTTGGCAAATTGTCAACAATTTGCTTGAGTATCACATTAAGAGTACGCAAAAGATTTATTTTTACGTCCCACATTTACATCCTAGGATACTATTTCTAGCCCGGAATGGTTTTACACATTACTTTGGGCTAATCCTATTGGGGCTTGGCATTATTACATGGATAAAATTCATTGCTGATTTTTGACGAGATTTGAACCCAGGACCTCGAGCAAAAACGTCCCGCACTCTACCACTAGACCAGCACATTCCCCAGTACGCAAATGATCGAATTCATTCGAACATTTATTAATAAATCGTTTACCGTTTATCTATGTAACAAAAAAAGGTTAACTCTCACCCCATTTAGTCCCTCTGAGGACAGGGCATCCACTGTGATCTGAGCCGTTCTCAGGGTCGCCGTTGGGCCTGAAGTTGAACCAAAACAAGGCCGAGTTCTTCACTGGAGGCACTGACAGTTGCCACTTAGTAAACACGGTGTTGCCACCCTGCTCTACATCAGTCAACTGGTGAATACAGTACAGATACGAGTTATCATCATCATACGGGACACTTCTCATACATAAACTCCCATAATTACAATAATAATGAACGAATAAAGAATACAAAATAAGTTAATATTTCTTCAGTAGACGTAAGCAATGATTTAAATGACAACAATCTATTTGAACTCTGAAGGTAATATGCTGTTCAAGGCTAAACAAAGTTTTGACCAAAGGTTATATAGCCACTACAGTACAAATACTGACTTGACAGTGAGATTATGAAGCATGTAAATTATTGTTGCAATTTGATATACTCGTATTTAGATTTTTTGTTTTTGTATCAATGTTTATCGTTTAAGCTTGTTGTTTAAGCATCATGTTTTCATTACGAGTATAAAAGAGACCATTTTATTTCATGAATAAAATTACTACAGCAAACTATATCATCTGGTATCATGTACAAAATATGCTAACACACTAACTACTCAATTTTTATGTTCACTGTAGGACTATATACTTTCACAAAAGTACATTAATGTATATCTATTTTTTCAGAATAACGAGTCGTGTTAATGTTAGTGTTTATATTTACTCACATAAATCATTAAAGTTGCCAGTCTGTCATCCACCCAATCAACCTAGGACAAACATGTAGGCTACTTTATCACTTAATTTTAATTGTACGAATAAAAACAACGTTTTTGGTATTCACTACTTTTCATCAAAATGTTGTGGTGATATCTTTATTATGTAGGCTATGTTTGGCCAGCTGGTCTTCCTCTCAACGACATAAGTAAATTCGTTAAATAAAAGCCCAGAATACCTTTTATGCGATAAAATATAAATATAACTTTCATTGCCACAAATTTAAACTACATTTTCACAGTATTCTGAATAATAAATAAGCGTTAAGCGTTGAATGTTGTATTAATTTTGGTACTAAGGACGCTTGTTGATCGTTATTTCTAAGTGATACTGCTGCAAGATATTACACGTACTTCATGCAGCGCAAGATACATACAGTATTTTCCTCTAAACTAAAATGTTTATTTTGTTAAACTGTGTAACCAAATCATACTCAGCTCATACTGTGTACCAAAGAGTATTTAGCCTAAGTAAGTGCAACGACTTTGGCCTCCACGTAAGTTGAAAGCAAGTATTCACCAAAGGTCAAGCAAACTGAAGCTGTTGCCGCTACTCGTCCTTCTTAAAGCTCAGCAATGGCTTGTATTATTGAGAAACATCTAACTAGCTTTTCAAAAACTAAGTTCATCATGCCTAAGAGAAAACTAGGCTAAAACAACAATACCTGCTACCGAAGGGTTGTGTGAGCTTGTAGATTAATACGTTTGATTGAAGTGTTTTCCAAATACAAAAGTTTGATATACAATCGTATTTTATATCATATCGCATATCATGTGTGATCGATATAGCGTTGTCATCACATTTTGACAGGACATTCTAAAGGAATGTATATTAGTACTTAGTGTACTATCACTTGACACCACCTTATCGACTAATGTGGTACGTTACATCGTAGATCAAGTGATCACGGTGAGGCAGGTACTCTCCCGATATGCTGTATCGTGACAGTTGATGACGATGAGCCATTGTAGTATTCATTTGAGTCGCCTGAGCCATCCTGCGAGTGAGCCACTCAGCGTCCCCTGCAGGGAGCCACGCCACATGGCTCGTGCGGTACTCGGAGACTCGGCGGGCGTTTTTGATACCGACTGAAGCCGGCTGCATCTGTTACATGCAATCATGTTACTTGGCTCTATAAACAGTAAGTTAAATTATACAGGGTGATTTGTACTCAGTGTGACAAAATTTTTTTGGTGTAAATACAAAGTAAATGAAGTGTGATGATGCTTATCAAATGTTCCAAGTCTCAAAATTAGCTTCCCAAAAAATCATTTTATGTTTTTCAAAAATAACCATGCTTTTAAACTTAATACAGCGATTTCTCAATTACCTGTATATGGATTTGAGTAGATAATGTCATTTTCGTGTTCTAAATTAAATTTTGAACAAGAATAATTAAAAATGACGGAGGATCAGTTTTAAAATTTCATTGGAAATAGATTCAAAGATAAAAATTAAGATGTTTGATAAAAAAAAAAAAAAAAAAAAAAAAAAAAAAAAAAAAAAAAAAACAATGGTCCATTGCATTTTTCACACCCTGTATACAAGAGAGTGTCGGAATATGTTAAAACTGCGCCATTTTATAAGCTTTCCAACCATATGCTACACTATTGAGGTTTAGATATTTTTTTGGTTGTTTTAGTGGTTTGAATACCAGAAAACAGGGAACTTTTTTACTGTTTTTACTGTTCAAGCTAAACAAAAATACAACTTTTGCTTAATACATGCCGACTTTCTATGTTTTAAATGTTAAAGACACCATGCTTTGTAGTCTTCAAACCATTAATGCAGACATAAACCTCAATAGTGTAGCATATGGTTGGAAAGCTTATAAAATGGCGCAGTTTTTAACATATTCCGACACTTTCTTGTATACAGGGTGTGAAAAATGCAATGGACCATTGTTTTTTTAAATTTTTATCAAACATCTTAATTTTTATCTTTGAATCTATTTCCAATGAAATTTTAAAACTGATCCTCCGTCATTTTTAATTATTCTTGTTCAAAATTTAATTTAGAACACAAAAATGACATTATCTACTCAAATCCTATACGGGTAATTGAGAAATCGCTGTATTAAGTTTAAAAGCAGGGTTATATTTGAAAAACATAAAATAATTTTTTGGGAAGCTAATTTTTAGACTTAGAACATTTTATATGCATCATCACACTTCATTTACTTTGTACTTACACCAAAAAAATTTTGTCACACTGAGTACAAATCACCCTGTATAAAGCACAAGTCAGGAATGTGGAGAAATAAATTAAATAGGTAAATTTTAAATTTAAGGCAGTTAATTAACACCTTCAGTTGGATGCTCTTTTAATAGAAACTAATTAATTATTCTTGTTTTCACGGGGTAGCCTATATTCAATTAAATAACATCAAATGGTATGTAATCAAAACTTCTCTATCGTAAGTTTTATAAAAGTAAAACTCCCGTAGGGTAATTTGCATATTCATGTTTAACTAAATTTGAAAATATCAATCAATAAAGGTTCTTTTCAACTAGAGTCCTAAATAAATTTATATTTGTTTTAATGTGATTATCCTATAGTACTTTATATTTACTTCATGTATAAAGCGTGTTACAAGGCACAACATTTAAAACGGAAACCACCATAAATTCCTGCAATACATGTTCATAAGGAAGCTGAACCACTTCCACTACATCATCACATAATCTATTCTAATTCTGTGTATACTTACGACAGACTTTCCCTGTTGGATGAGTGCCTCGGCCTCAGAGTCACTGATGAGGTCGTAGAACCTGACTACCGGAGGGTCCCTATGGAGCTCCTCTAGCTTAAACGGCTGTAGTCTGAGATGGTGTTGATGGTAGTGTACGTATCTACATACCAGTCTGCTGTCTACCCGAACCTCCCCTCGACACAGTCTGCTGTGATTCTCAACCTCGGCATTGTCGCGGTAGTAGGAAACAGCTGACATGTCGATGCCGTTGCTATAGTAACGTTTGTTGAGTTTTTGATATATCTGTAATGAATAAAGTATAATGTTGAAACTTGGTCATAAAAGAAGTGATAACATAATTCCCAATCTCATACCAAATATGCTCCAATTTGATTATTGTAGTCCATGTATTTTATGATTTTGAAAATAAGTGATCTATATTATTTCCATTATTTTCATCATTGTTATTTATTGTGGCATCGCCCCCTAAGTGCACAGCGATTAAATATGACAGTAGAAGGGAGTGGGATATCAGCCTGACTTTGCTACTCCCTAAAATCAGCAGTTTTTTTCAACCAGGGCCATATCTTAAGTGCCCGATAATCAAGCCCTGTTGGGTTCAGTTTAGAACCACCAAACAGCTACTCTTGCAGGTTAGTAAGTAGGAAGTTTTATACAAGCATATAATTTACTTTTACCAACCTCTTCATTAGGATAGATACATCCATCGGTCCCCATAATGTTGTAGTAATCAGTCAACTCTTGGGGAGGTCTGCTTTGTGGCAATTCTCTAGTTATTGTAAGAAGAATAGCTCTAGCGTTTGTTTCGTCTCCTAAAAGCATGTTATGAGTATGAATACGTTCAATATTATAGTAATTTATGCTGCCGGTGCCAGGCATATAAGTCTGAAAACCTCTCCGTGGTTTTATTTTTGAACTTTAGGGGGAACACTTGACTTCTTCTGGGCGAACTGTAGCTCTCATATTTATCATCCTTCAGCCACTTCAACATATTTTACAATTTTTTAAATGTCGTGAAATTTAAATAGGGTTTGACTTAAATAATTAACCAATTTGCATTATCTTATTCATTGTGCAATCATAGTTTACTGATATTCGTCTAAGTTACTGCACACTAAAGTTAAATTTGTACTATAATGTAGGTTAAAGGTGTGTAGTATCACGTACTAAGTATGACTCAAACTCTTCCAACAGCTGACTTTACATGGCCTACGGAATAATCCACAGGCATATGCATCCTTAATTTACCTAGTTGTAAGGGATTGAGAAACTTTATCATGAAAGACTAGTAGGCAGTAAATTTACACAATGTGGTTTAGTGTTAATACAATTTGAATAGTTGTTTAGAAGAGTGTAAACTATCTTACCAGAGAAGCAGGAAGCAGCAGCCAAGTAATACAGAAGCGTCTCTCTGGATGGAGAGTTGTCTCTACTTTGAACTCTAGTGAGAGCCTGCTGCAGCAACTCCTTTGCCTCAACGAAACGTTCTTTTAGGAAGTATTGTCGAGCGATATCGAAATAGGTGGCCTCTAACAAACGTGATTACAACCACAACCACAGAGGAGTAATACCAAGTAAATACAGATAAAATAGAGGAAATCTATTGTACTCTTAATAATGAGCATAATAACTAATTTATCTGTACTCTGTCACCTTTCTAAACTCGTTTTACTTTGCCAATTTCAAGTTAATCCATAAACATTTTAAGTATGTACCAGCAAGTCAGGTGCAAACTGTTGCAAACGTGTTGGCAACATTGGATGTAAACACTCGTAAAACAGCTGTAGCACAGTGTTGTTATTGTCGTACGTTTGAAATAAAACAAATGAAGTATAACGGGTAAATTATTGTTGGACCTAAAATTAGCTGACAAAACACTAATATGATGAAAAAATTACAGAAACCGGAAATTTGGTAAGGCTTTATCAAGATTTTTACAAAATTGTTTGTCCATAACAACTGTTTAAAATTCTTGTATCTAAAAAATACCAATTAATGTATCGCTCAACAAAATTAATACCTATTATATTTCATCACTTTAGAGTATAATGACTCTTATCGTCAACTTTAACGACCAACAAGTCAAAGTCAGAAAATGAGTGAGGTTTGGAAATTTACTTTATGCTCGTGATAAACTACATTTTGTCATTTTAAGTAAACTAAGATACAACACGAAAATACTTTTCATGTTAAAGGTTAGCTTCAAAAATTACTACAATCGTGTTTTCTATTTTTCTATTGTGCACAAGCATCAAACAAGCAGTACAAGCAGGAAGGTATTGAATCATTTTGCCCATGCGATTGTTTGTGCCCACTATACTATTGATAGATATAGATTTGTGGAAATATTGGTACATCAACAGATTTCATGAATTTGGGGCTTCCAGTACAATAAACTGTTTTTCGTCATATTGCAGCCCTAGGGAGTAAAAATAATTTTTAGTCTCTAAGAAGTAAAAATCAGCTGTTGTAAGTTTTGATTGTGACAACCGTATTGATCGAAATTATTTATCGATTGAAGGTAAGGTTTGAGCCTATTGTTGTCGATTGGGCGAAATATCGATTGTATAATGTACTGTAACACAATCTTAATAGACTAAATTATTGACTTACTTACTAAACAGCTGCTTATTTGCATAAGCAGAATTGGAAACAAGTTGGAAGTAGTTTAGAGAGGTTATCTTTACTCACAAATTATTTCGTTTTCTAGCTTTGTTTGTAAATTAATGATGCAATATGAAAAGAAATATAGTTCACCACACGGGCAAAAGTTACTTTTTAACCCACGCTCATTTTCCGACATCGACTTCGTCTCGATCTGTAAAACTTGACCTTGGGTCAAAAAGAGTCACTTCAGGCCCTAGTGATGAAATATAATAATCCGTGTCATCCGTCTTTTTACATTCAACAAAAACAAATTTTAATCTATTTAAAATCAATTCAATAATGAACTATAAATCTATACAACAGATAAATTTGATACGACCGATGAAGTTGAAAAGTTGGCAAAATGTACTGCTGACGTCTTCGCTTCAACTGATTTTACTGCAGTATTTCGAAACATGTATCACACATATCTCACCTGTTATGTTGGACACAAATACGTCTGTCTGGGATCCTCGCAGAAGTAGTGCACTGTCCGTGGTGTAAGTTAGTTGAGATCTCATCACGTTTCTAGCAGCCTGTTCAAGTTCCGATATTGTGGGCCACCTCACCTCACCCAGCTGTAGGCTATGTAGGTCTTTAATAGAGGTATGGAACTTCTATGAGCTTTGTGTTGAAAAGAGTGACAGCTAATAACTTAATTCAACAATTTGATAGGTCTGTAGTTTAGTTGGGTGGAGACATTCCCACCTTACAAAAGCATAATCTTCAGGTTCCATTGTAAAATACTGGATCTCTCTCAACAATAGTTATTTGTGTAACTAGTCGATTTTTCCTACAGTTACTATAATTCATAGAAATAATTAGTCTTTCAAACACTAAACAACACGTTGCAGGTTAAGTTAAATCCAAGCTTTGGACAAAATGGGAAACAAATGCGTCAGCTGATCGTAGTCGTAGTATCTTTAAGTGTTGCCAACTTATTTTCAAGCGTACACGTACTACATGCCTAACAAAAGAACACAGTTTTTTTTTGTTTGGTTGGAATACTGGATTGCGACAAAAAAGAGTGTGGCAAAAGTAAAATTAGTCCTGCGAAAGTAAGAAAATGCAGCAATTAGCTACTTTGCTTGCAATAATCTGTACAAAATAGCCCGCTTTGTAAAGTAACTGTAGGAAAAAATTTTTTCCTACAGTTACCTAACAATGTACATGTTCTCTCACTGATTTGAGAAAGCAAAGTGGCCAATTTGCTCATCAGTGGGACAATGTTAACATTGTCTCACTCTAATTACTTTGTCTCACTCCAGATTTGCAACGTGAAGGCACGAAATAGTGAGCGCGTAACATACAGACAAAGTCGTATGCGCGCGAAATACGTTGGCAGCACTGGCTGTAAGTCAGCTGGTCAGCTGTTTTACTGTTGTATCATTAAAAAATGTCATATTAAAAGCTCACTTCTGTGTAAAAGTATGATACGTTTTTTTACCAATTTATTTGTTTTATGGTAACTGTAGGAAAAATATAATGTGCAACTCGAGTGCAAAGTGCAATTGCCTCACTCGAGAAACCATTCGGTAAGTATTTCTCTCGAGTGAGTCAATTTATCACTTTGCTCACTAGTTGCACAAATAACTATTTAAATGTCGTAGCCACACATTAAAGCACATAAAATAGGGAAATGTGCACTTGAAAGTCTAAACTAATCTTTTGGAAAGACTTTATAATTGGTTATAATAACAATGTTTCCAACGCGTTTCAACGTAACCTTTAATGGTATCAAAATCATCTCAGAAAAGGTGATAGTTTAAAAAGGTTGAGTTAAATAAAACCAAACCCTGTTTCAGGAATTTCTGCAAAAAGATGCATTGCATATGCTTCCTCTACTTGGCTCAAATACCAATGTTTTCAAAAACTCACTTGTCTGTTTGCCAGCCATGATTGCCAGATTTGGCCAATCATGGACCAATCTCCGTAACATGGTCATAGCTATATGTGGTGTGTTCACTTGATCATCTTTGTCCATGTTGTATATTTTTGAAGATAAAATCTGTTTCAAGCTCCTGACAAAACACAAATGTTTTAATTCATCGATTGATTACTGCCCAAAACTGCTAAACAGCAATAAGATTGTAATTTTTTTTATTGTTACGATTCTTATCGTAATTTTGCAAGCAATGTTATAAATTAAAATACAATTTGTTCGTTTGCATATATCTCAAATTATAACATGCAGAGTACTCTGTACAGTAACTGCTGTACAGAGTACTACTACACCATTTTTGCTTACAATCTTTCAATTTTGGTAGCTATAAGGAATAGTGAGTGTCCATACTCACAGAAATGCCTAACTTAGATTACAAAATAAAACCTTTAATACCAAATACCTTTGGCATCCATTCACAAGATTTATTGTTTTGTCATTGAGGTGAAGAGTTAATCATTTTATGACTCTTAATACCAACTGTTCATTCAAAATATCGTTTACTAAGTAAATCGATATGAGTTTACTTCGTTTTTATAAAACTACTTTAAAACTGTATAAAATCTGCAAAACATTGTAAAACTTAACAATGTGAATGCAAATATTTTACTCAACTGTTCAATCCCAGTGACGGTTGAAGAGAGTTGGTCAACGTGATCTTTTGTATATCTGAGTATCTTTAACTCGGTGTCCAACGTTTCTCGGAGAGATGCGTTACATTGTATCACCAATGTAACCACAAAGGAATATTTTACGAGAAAATTAATCCTGAAAGCCCAAAATATAAGATTAAATATGTGTGCAGTCAAGAACCTTTATAATGTATAGAAGGGGATCCGTGCAAAAATTCTGCACTATAATAGAATCCAAAACTTGTTTCTGATGAAAAACAAATGATGCAATAAGCTAATTCTTAGGTAGTTAGTTATTCAGTGAATAAAACTACTAATTTAAAAAAAATTTAAATTTGTTGTTTGTACATAATACCCTAAATAGTGCTTTACTTACCTCAATCAAGTTACAATATTATCACTAAGAGTATTCTAGGCTATTTAAAACTCATTACTTAAAAACCTTTTTGTCTGTTGTTTACTATGTGACTGCGGTTAAACATTCAACTAAACAATTAGGTTGAGTTAACTGAAAGTCATATTTAAAACGGTTATAAAGAAATGTTTTCAAAATAACTGGAGCTTTGACAGTGAACTGTAAAAATAAATCAAAAGGTGGCAGAGCCCTATACATGTTTATTTTTCATTCGCCCCTCCACTATAAGCTCTAAATTACACCTAAATCGTAAAAATTACTTAAGTAGGACGGGCGGCAAAGGGATGTTACAGAGAACTCCCTATTTTATTAAGTATATAGATGGAAGAAAATGCATAAAGAACATCAAAACCACTGCAATTATGACTTTGACTGAGTGCAAATAAATATAACCATATAATAAATATAGTCTTTCTAGATAAATCCATTCAGAAAAATATATTTAAGTTTCATTATAGAATTTCCCTTGAATTAGTATAAATATTACAAATATAATTAAAGTTAAACATGTTAGCTATGAAATAACGAGTATTGTAATTAAAATAATTTTTTTCAGAAATCTCAATGAAACATCAAAATAAAACCCATTATAAAATAAAATACCCCCGCCGCAGAAAACCTGCATACCAAGCGAATTTCCATTTGCCTGATTTGATTTTTAATTAAATCTATTCAAATAACATTAGGTTTAACGAGTACCTAGGTTTGCTGCATACAGCGTAATAAAGTGTGTTTTTTAGTAAAATATTAATAGCTTAGTATAAAATAAATAGATTGGCCAAGTTTGATCCAAATATATGCATGAACAAGCAAACTACAACAGTTTACTTATTCTCCATAAGAATAACATGGGAAGTTTTTATTTATAATTTCTCCTTAAACCAATAACCATACAAAAACACTTCAATATACTGAATTATTTGATTTTTAAGCTCTTCAAAATGGTCTAGACGAAATTTGGGAAATTTTATGTTTCGAGGGTCAAAAATGAGAAAAACCAATTTTTACCCCATAAATCCCCCCTTAAAACCCCGTTCCCATGGTCTGATCATGCTGGTTCGCGAACTCGTTCGAATAAACGTAGGTTTACACGTTTGTACCAAATTTCATCGAAATCGGATAATTTTTGCTCGAGTTATCGTGCTAACGGACACACACACACACACAAATATACATATATATGAATTTGAACGGATTGTGTTTATGGCTTGTAGGGACATCAAAATGAAAAAGTAAATCGGTCCCGGGACTAAATCTTACCATGAGACCTACGGTAATAGCTTATTCCCTATAGAGAAATTCGCTAAAAAGGATTTCATGTACAGAGTTAAAAAAAATATATTTGAAGGTAAATATTTTTATCACCACAGTTTGGAAATGTATGATGTAAAGCATTTTGGTACCACTATAATACATGTCCTACCAAACTAAATTATTTAGCAAAGCAGTTAGTGGGCTATAAAGGGATTTGCGGAAACACATACAGACGCGGGGGCAGTAAAATAGACACTGTAAACCGACGTCAATATAGTGCAACGTTGCTCTTGTGTTGTCTTGAACCATAGCTCAACTATTTGTTGATATCTAACCATAGTTACGGGATATTTTGCCCAGCAGTGAGATTCAGTGTTAACCACCCATATGAATAATTAGGCCTACTTTATCATTTAAGTTGAATAAACAATTGGGCGTGGTTAATAAACAACATTTAAATGATTAATTTCTCTTATCCCTTTTCAAAAATAAGGAAAATGTATATAATAACTACCACTTATATGAATCTACTTACATTTTTCACAATGCTAGACTGGGTTCAAGTCAGCCACTTGCCAAGTGATAGTAACACGTAGTGATGTTGGGGGACAGGTGTGCTTCACATACCTCTTGACTTCCCATTGTTCGACACTATAAAGACCTACAAAATGGCTCCGTTGATCGAAACACATATGGTTCTTGTGTAAAAAGCTAAGAAAAACGTAGAAAACGTATCTTGTTTATTCAAACATGAGGTTTTTTTAATTCTAAGATTAGGAAACAACCACTTGACGGATTTGAATGACATTTATGTTAGTAGGCGGGGCGGTGATCGAGGCAAAACCACCCCTAGAGTGGTAGTTTAATCTATAGGGGTTGTAAACATAACTTTTAGCTGTTAGGGGAAGTAAATACACATATCTTTGATTGTTAGGGGTTGTTTTTTGGTAAATCATATGACGTAACCTTATTTGGTACCTTTGTTTATTATTAAACTATTTCTGTTTATTTAGTTATGGATAAAAAGTGTGTACCTTGACCGGGTATCGACCTCGGGCTTCCTACATGATGGTTTTATGTCTTAGCCACTGAGCTATGATGCCAGTTACAGGTCCTGTGTTTATAGTGGTAAATGACAACCTCAATTTACATATACAGGGTGTGAAAAAAAATAACTTTTATTCGATTTCATACATATCTATAAGCTGTAGTCCATAACAAATGCAAAACAAAAGACAATTCACGTATCCAATGTTAAAAACAGCTAAAAAAAAGGCTTAAGCGGAACCTAACCATTAAGTATAAAAAACGGCATTTGTAAAGGCCACCAAATGTTGGATGTTAAATTTACATTTCATGGATGTTATGTACTTTTTGGGATGTCTAAGGGGTAACGGGAGTGTGTAAATGTTTTTTCCTAATGGTTGGTTGTGTATGAAGCTGTGTATGAGCCAGAGGTTTACGGGTTCGATCCTAACTATTCACTAAATACCAAGTACCTATCATCAAACGTTTCATTTTCGGTCGGGGTGATATGTTGATTTTTGGTATAGTGTTGTATCGTAGTAGGAGTAGTGTGAGTCCTTGATCTCCGAGGTTTGCGGGTTCAATCCTAACTATTCGCTAATTACCAAGTAACTATAACCAAACGTTTCATTTTCGGTCGGGGTGTTTTTTGTATAGTGATGTAACGTAGTGGGAGTAGTGTGAGTCCTTGATCTCAGAAGTTTGCGGGTTCAATCCTAACTATTCGCTAAATACCAAGTACAGTACCTATCACCAAACGTTTCATTTTCGGTTGGAGTGTTTTTTGTATAGTGTTGTAACGTAGTGGGAGTAGCGTGAGCCCTTGATCCTAGAGGTTCACGGGTTCGTTCCTAACCAATCCCAAACATTTTATTTTCGGTTGGGGTGTTTTCTTTTGTTGGTATGGTGTTGTATTAGCCTATAGTTAACCGTTTGTATATGAACCTATTTGCCCAGAGGTTCACGGGTTCGATCTTTACCAATCACCAATCGTTTAATTTCTGGTTTGGGTGATATTTTGAGTTTTAGTATGGTGTTGTATCGTAGCGGGAGTAGCGTGGGTCCTTGATCCCAGAGGTCTACGGGTTCGATCCTAACCAATCACCAACTGCTTCCCTTTTTTGTCAGGTTGATATTTTTGGTATGGTGTTGTATCGTAGTGGGAGTAGCGTGAGTCCTTTATCTCAGAGGTTCACGGGTTTGATCCTTACCAATCACCAAACGTGTCATTTCCGGTTGGGGTGATATTTTGAGTTTCAGTATGGTATTGTGTTATAGTTCACCGTTTGTATATGAGCCTATGGTCCCAGAGGTTCTCGGGTTCGATCCTTACCAATAACCAAAGGTTTAATTTCCAGTTGGAATGTTTTTGGTATAGTGTTGTATTGTAGTAGGAGTAGTGTGAGTCCTTGATCCTAGAGGTTCACAGGTTCGAATCTAACCAACCACAAAACATATTAGTTCCGGTCGGGTTAGCGCTAGAGGTTTACGGGTTCAATTCTAACCCGATTGGAGAGGTTCACGGATTTGATCCTAACCTGATTGGGTTGGTAAACGGGTTCAATTCTAACCTGATTGGATTGGTTAACGGGTTCGATTTTAACCCGATTGGGTTAGTTTTAGAGGCTCACGGGTTCGATTTAGTTTTAGAGGTTAACGGGTTCGATTTTAATCCGATTGGGTTAGCGCTGTAGGTTCACGGGTTCAATTCTATCCCGGTTGGGTTAGTTAACGGGTTCGATTTTAACCCAAATTGGATAGTTTTAGAGGTTCACGGGTTCAATTCTAACCTGATTGGGTTAGTTTTAGAGGTTCACGAGTTGGATCTTAACTCGGTTGGGTTGGTTAATGGGTTCGATCCTAACCTGATTGGGTTAGTTTTAGAGGTTCACGAGTTCGATTTTAACCCGGTTGGGTTAGTTTTAGAGGTTAACGGGCTCAATTATAATCCGACTGGGTTGGTTAAGTGGTTTGATCCTAACCTGATTGGGTTAGTTTTAGAGGTTCACGAGTTGGATTTTAACTCGGTTGGGTTGGTTAATGGGTTCGATCCTAACCTAATTGGGTTAGTTTTAGAGGTTCACGGGTTCGATTTTAACCCGGTTGGGTTAGTTTTAGAGGTTAACGGGTTCGATTTTAATCCTATTGGGTTAGCGCTGTAGGTTTACGGGTTCGATTCTAGCCTGATTGGGTTAGCTCAGAGGTTCATGGGTTCGATACTTAGCTGATTACATGATCTTGTATATGTGATATAACCTCTGTTTTCCAGCCAAGTAACATAACCTAGGAGCTGTCACTTGCTTTCTCACCAACGGTTCACGCCAGATAACATAACCTCACTTCACGTACTGCATTCGTATCTGTAACATAACCTCACTTGTGTACGTAGGAACTGTATCCCGCCATTTGCTTTCCCGCCAACTGTCCCCGCCAAGTAACATAAGCTCACTTCTATACGTAGGTTTATTAAATGAATATCTAGTTGAGAAAATAAGGAAAACAACTGTGAAAGCTAAAACGGTTTATTTAAATTGTCTTCATCCTGTGTGGTGACATTGCATCATCTGAAACAAAAATTACAATTAGTACCACATACGGTGTAGTAAACAAGTTATAACTTGAAAAAATCCTGTACGCTGATTGGCTATAATAAGCTCACTCCTGATTGGTCATAAATAGGTGATCTGTGTAGTCATTAGCTACCCCCACCCCTTTCCCTACTGTATATATATATATTGCTCTGTATCACCATCGCATCACTTTGCTCTCAGCGTTCGACGAAGATGGACGTAAGTAACGTAGCTGCTCAAGTAGTAGAACCTGTAAATATAGTAGAAGATTCTGTTGAAGTAGCTGTCCCCGTAAAAATCTTAGATAAACATGAGAATTATGTTAAGAAATTCAGAATTCACGGTATTAACACTGTTTTCAAGTTTTCTAACCCCCCGCCTGAAACTAGTGAGATTGTTTGGCTAAGACAAGGGTTTGGTCAAATTGTAAATGAGATGAAAGAAGTTTGTCAGGAGGGCGATCAATTGGGTTTCACTTTGCGTTCACTTAACCTGAAAAGGGAAGAGTCGGGGTTTGTCACTTTTCGCCCTGCAAATGAAGTTAACGAGGATGTCTTGTGGCAAATATTTGGGGGAATTGTACAATCAAATGCTGAATCAATCAAGTCGACGGACACATTTCAAGTCGAATGTACCCGAGTTAATCTCCCTGTAGGTAAAGGTAGGGTTAGACCTGGCCTGTATAACACCTTTGATGAAGAATGCAAGGCTAGGACAGGGATCGTAGTTATTAACAATAAAGATAATCTGTGTCTTCCCCGTGCCTTGGTGGTAGCTATAGCTAATGTAAATAAAGACCCAGCATATGAATTAGTTAGAATGGATAAAGCAAAAAGACAGACTGTAAGGGCTCAAAAACTTGTACGTCGAGCCAGAGTCAAAATACCTGAGGGTGGTGCCGGTATTGCTGAACTTGAAAAATTCCAAGATCTGCTTAAAGACTATAAAATCACTGTGTACAACTACAATGTTAAAGGCCGCGATGTGTATTTTGAGGGAAATGTAGAGAACCCCAAGTTCAAAATTAACTTGTTGTTTCATAACCGACACTATAATGTAATTACTAGTGTGACAGCCGCTTTGGCTTGTGTGTTCTACTGTGACGCTTGCCATATCCCATATGATCACAAAGGTAAGCACCGTTGCTCAAACATTTGTTCACAGTGTCAGACCATCTCTCCCCCTTGTGTAGAGGAGCATGGGGGAATCTTGTGTCCAAAATGTAATATGACTTACAAAAACCAACGCTGTTTCATTGCGCACCAGGCTGACAAATGTAAAAACGTTAAAAAATGTCTAGATTGCGGGAAACTAGTTTGGCTTAAAGAGAGGTCCAAGCCTCACAAGTGCGGGGAAGTATTTTGTAAGCCTTGTGGAGAATTTAAAGATCCTAACCATAAATGTTACATGAAACCCAACGAGGGCAGACCGAAATCTAAATCTAAAGACTATGTTTTTATTTTCTTTGACTTGGAAACCCGCCAAGATGAGTCCCTGCCCACTGACCCAGAAAGTAAAGTACATAAAGTAAACTTGTGTGTCTCTCAACAGTTTTGTTACCAGTGTATTGAGGGAAAATTCTGTATAGCGTGTAAAAATCGTACACGAGTGTTTGACTCTGACCCTATCAACCAGTTTATGAACTATGTAATGTACGTGAGAAAGCAGTTCAAAAACGTCTGTGTAATCGCTCATAATGGGCAAGGTTTCGACTTTCAATTCTTGCTAAAGTACTTGTTGGAAGAAACAAAATTCACACCGGAATTTGTAATGCGGGGAACCAAAATTATCTTAATGAAAATTGACAATGTGAGGTTTGTCGACTCACTTAGCTACTTCCCCATGGCTCTATCTGCACTCCCTAAAGCCTTTGACCTACCTTCAGAGAAAAAGAAAGGCTACTTTCCCCATCTCTTCAACACGCTAGCAAATCAAAACTATGTAGGCCCTATGCCAGACAAAGAGTACTACTGTCCCGAATCCATGTTTGAAAAATCCCACAACGACTT